ACAAATATATGCTAAGGACAGCAAGGTGACTTGCAGAACACATGCCATTTTGTCCAACAATTGTTTTTTTATTACTGACAATTTGAAAAGCTGCTTGTATTTCTCCACTGCACAATCATCTATCAGAATTAATTAATTTTTAATGGTTAATGATGAATCTGATAGAAACCACACTGCAGTCAGTGAAAAGAGTTTTGTTAATTTGACAGGGTTTGGCACTGCACATGATATTTTCAACAGCATCACCTTTATGTTGTTAAAATTGGTGATATAAGTGATTCAAACCCAATTTTTCTTTTTATTTTCTCTACTTTGCTCTTTGCTGATTTTCAAAATAATTGGCTTGGCTTGACTTAGAAACTTGCATTATGAAGCCTACTCTTTTTTTTGAGCTAACAGCATTATATATTTTCACTGGATTCTAAACTGTCATTTGGAAAATAAATATCTTCTTCTGGCATCCACATTTCTCAAAACTACTTCTGTATTTATCTTTCAGCAAGTCATTCTCCAAGAGCACTTGATTCTTCAAACATTATTTCTGAAAGGTCTTTTGTAACTCACTGAAAAACATTTTGTTAAGAGATAATACAGTTCTTGTTAAGAAAAAACAAACAAACAAACCGACTCAGACAGTCAAACATACACATTTTCCAGCTGTTGTTCCTTGCCTGGGGACTTAATTCTAGAAAGCAAAATCCTTATAGTTGACTTCATTTTGGCATATGTAGCCACTAACCAGATTGAGTTAAATGACTGCTGATTAAAAGCAAAAGAAAACAACATAAAAATCCCTCAAATATCTTCTTCTGTTCTTTTATAACTATTTCTTCCTTGAAATTGTACATTTGTATTTGAGTCAGAAATACTATTTTACCTGGAAATAATCATAGGTCTGATAATACTGCCTTTATTGGAACAAGATCTTCATGAAATTGCTGGAAACTTTGAATTAAGGAGTGCAAGATCAGGCTAAGTGGTTTAAGGCATTCTTGCTGTTCTTGCTTCTGATTCACCAGAGCACTCAGGTGTATGCTTAGCTTTAAGTGCCTTGTGTCATATCACCAAAGCCAATGGAAGCATTTACAGGCTTAAAGTTAAATACACCACTGGCTCATTTGCTAACTGAGATGAGAACAAAAAGAGAATAATCTTTATAATTTTTTTTAATGCAAGGAACAGAAGTACAAATTACTGTATTAGTTCTGTTGGATTCAGTGCAGATGCAGTCCTCTAAACAAAGACTTAAACATTTCCATATGCCAAGAACAGATTTTTTTTTTTTTAACTCTCTCCAGCTTTCCTTGGCTTTGGAAGTATTTGAGTGAGTGCTTACATTTTCTAAAAGAAAGTGAGAGGAAAGTAATACTATAGAGAGAAGCACAGACTAAGATTCTTCACAAAAGAAAAATATCTTGCCACAATACACTGCTTTAATCAGTATATCCATACTATTTCAAACCTCAGAAACCACACAGACTTTTTCTCCCAGAAATCATAGCTTTCATGTGAACAGCACATTAGAAATCAATAATAAAAAGTGGACACGTACATATTTAGAAGTAAATTAGAGTGAAAAAAATAACCACAAGTATAATCAATAAGTCATTGTAAAGTCAAGATAACTTAAGAGCTTTTCTAAGGAAAAGTGTAATTGCATTGGCAGGCAGGGAGAAAAATGTAACAACACTTGCTACACGCCAAGGAAGTATAATTCTAGTTGTGTTTTTCTATTTAATGTTCTTTCCTCCACTATAAGATAATGGGAAAACAAACAAAATGACCTTCAGGATAAGTATTTTTACTTCATCCCAAGGTAACGCTTAAGTAATTTTTTCTCCGTTCTATTAAAAAAAACCCCAGCAACCAAAAACCAACACCAAAAAGACAGATGCCTAATTCAGAAGCCTTTGATATTTTCTAAAATTGTATTTACAGTAAATAGTGGGACGTTTATAATTAGCAGTGCTGTATTGATTTGATATTTTCAGCTTCTGAAAATTGTGCTGACATTGTGCTACTGCATACAGCTGCCAGATACTACTTGTCAGTAGTAGCCACCTTAGAGCTGAAATCCTGACTGTGAGGAGATTTCTTCCTCTTGAAAATAACATTTTATCCTTTAAACAACCAAAAACATAGCAGTGAGGTTAGCCCTGTGTGCACCAGGTATAGGGAAGCGAATCCATTAGATGTATCAGAAGCCTGACTGCGTACTGAAAACAAAATTCTGACTGCAGAGGCGCACACCTTATCCCACCACTCTCCACAGTTTCTTACGCTGCCTTCCACAGGAGCCAGCCCTGCTCCCTGTCAGAGGGAGAGGTCCTCAGCCTGAGCAAGGGAGGCTGCTCTTACTGCATGAAGGTCAGAACTAAAGTAAGCCATTCATGTTAGAACCTAGGAAATAGGCACTGCTGTGTCCTCCTTCTTAGGAGAAACCTTCCACTGCAGTGCTCTCCTCATCATGGGGGAGAAGGGGAAGGGGGCAGCAGAAGGAGGGAATGGGACCAGAAAAGACATATCTTCCAGTAAAGCCATGTTTGTGACGTCAAACCCAGCACCAGAAAACTTACACAAATGCCTTCCTAGTTATCAATTAGCCCCAGTTAAGCCAGCCTGGTTTCTCATGAGCCCTGAGAGTCCCATGGGTTTGTCCGCAGGTTTGTGATAGGAAAATGGATGAATCAAACAGTCTTACTGAAGTAAACTTACACTTTTGCATGACTGTAAGATTAGAGCAATTTCTACCTGGTTATCAACAGATATATAGCCATTTGCAACCCAATTTCGACATGTAATGAGTCCAGGGTTTCCCTAAAGAAGAGTGAATTCCTGGCACAGAGATCCCAGATAAGGCTCTCCACCTTCCTTGGGCAGTGCCTCTTGTCACCTGCACTGGGATAGCCAGGCTACCCATTGCCAGCAGACAACACAGGCCATAATACTGAAATTGTAAAAAAACATTTGCTGAATGTAACTGTTTAGCAAAAGCACAAACACACATTTGGCTTTTGAATGCAATTTATTTCAGAAACTTCCCAGTTAAATGATTTCCTTATATATTCATTATAGAAGAGGAATTGAACCTCTTTGGACTAGCTTAGCTTCATGTAGGAGCACATTTTTAGCATCTAGAGTACACAGCACCTGTCACTTCTTTCCAGTCATTTTACATTATGCACTTGCATAAATAAAATCCTTGCTTCACCATATAAGGCCTTCCCGGCACCTCGAGCACCAAAATCCTCAATATTTTGGGGTGCTTATTTCTCCCTGCAAGTTTTACACTCCTAGATAAGGAGACAATAACGTACACTTTTCCACCCTGGAGGCTTTGCTGACCTTCCGCCTTTGCTGATCGCATTACATTGCCAGGCTGTACAATACACAGCTGCACACAGTCTCTTCTCACCTTTTTAAGTGTAAGGTGGAGGTATAACAATAACAATGATAAGGTATTGTTTACAATGATTTACCCTATTATAATTCAGCAAAAAAAACAACATCAAAAAATAAGAGCTACTCAAAATGCATACAACATCTCATTTCTGAAAAAAAAAAAAAAAAATCCTATCAATGTCAATAGTTGCATTGATAAACACAAGAACCAGCGTTACTATTTCAGCACATAGCCCTCCTTTTAGCAATGCAAAACTTGACTCCCTGAACCTCAAGATTTTCATAGAACGCCTGTCATATCCCGCATGCTCTCAAATGTGCAGCAAAACCAAAGGGAATTCAGATGTTTCAGGAGCTATTTAGTACGCAACACTGGCCAGCAACGCAGATGCAATTCTGATCTTTGTCTCTATAGATAGCCTTTTGAAAGCATAAAAAAGAGAAGATCCATTGGTCTTTTTAGTCCCATTGTCTGCAGGTAAAACTTTCAGATTCAAAAAACCATAACAAAAAGCATGAAATGATCTTTCAAATGTAAACGCTTAAGCAGAAGTTACTGAGAAACCAAACTGCAACTCCACATAGCTAATGGTCAGGCACCACTGCTATTCCATATCTCTTACTAAATCTCTGGCATAATTAGAAAAGTACAGAAATACACAATACCATGAAGAAAACAAATACCTTGAGCGCAAATCTGATAATACAACACCGCAGAGTCCTCACTGTACAGGCTGTTTTGCTCTTTATGTAAAATTAGTTTCACTCTCACAAAGCATTTAGTTACAGTTATACTTCTGCAATTAATCACAGCTATTGCTATATCTGTAACTGCTATCTATTGCAACATACAGCAAAGCAAAAAGTAGGCAGATAGACATATAGATTTATTTAACATTCTAAGTGACACAACCTGAAAAACGCAGCAAAGCTATTCTTAAAAAAAACAAACCATGCACTGAGATCAATTTATAAGCCAGTAAGAGAATTTTATTGTCCAAAAAATTAAAACAAAAAAGAACACACCCATGAGATCTTGCCGCCACCATTAAAATAATATTCAGAAAGGTCCCGAGTATCAGGATAAGAGTTTCTAGAAAAGCACATAATTAATTAACACCTGTACAAAAGAGAAACAAGAGCTGGTGCCTCTCATTCCCGCTTTCTAATATTTGCGTCCCCATCAGCAAGAGAAACATTTAAAAGTATCCAAAAGGTTAGTGCTCTTAGGAACTGGGTTTTTGCCTTCCAGTGCACACCCTCTCCCCTCATGGCAGTCCGCAAACACATCCAAGTTGTGAGAACGATACCTACAAGAAATTTCAGAAGCTCTCATAAAAGGGCTTCGCATATGCAATCCACAGCACTGAACAGTGAATTTAAAAAACCCAATTTTTTTTCCGAGTTTGAAGTTTTTAAGCCTTGCGGATGGTTGGAGTAGGAAAAAGGAAATTTACTAGGCAGTACAAAGGAAATCTTGTTGTCCTCTATTGTGGCAGTGGGGGTGTTGCCCAATTCTAACTTATCTAGGTTGATAAAGGAAACCAAAGAACACGCCACTAAAAAAAATTCCAACAAAAAAGGTACCCCTTTCTTACCTTAATAGTGCTTGCCATAATGTGATCAAGATTATTGATCGCTAATAATTGCTAATAATAATTATTGCTTCGCTCTGACCAGAAAGAAGTTTTGATGAGGTTGTTTAGAGCGGATGAGATTGTGCTAACTCTGGGAAATGAAGTCAGCCAATGGCAGGAAGAGGTTTCTATTGGTCCTGGCCACTGCAGCTCGAAGAAACAGGATATTTGGGAGTGAAGAGATAAGAGTCCTAAAACAATGTTGTTTTTCTTGATGATATGTGACTAATTTTTTTTTTTTTTTTTTAACAAAAAAGTCAATTGCCTGTGACTGCCTGGGCAGGTGTGATCTGATGTGCAGTAAGTGTGACATGCCACTTTGAGGCAGGATGCAGATGTCAGATGAAATGGGCCAAATTCGGCACTAGTTTCATGCAGTGTATTCACTGGGGAATTGCTGATTCAGGGCTGAAGCCAGACTTAGTATAAGCAAGTGTAACTCCAAATATGTTAATGAAGCCTAGCCCTGCTTATACCACATCTATATTTGTCCACTAACCTCATTCCTGAATTCTTGAGCTATTGACATTTCTAGCCTATGGGATCTAGCATATTTTTTTTTCTTAGAGAAGAAGCAAGTGGATTCAGGATAATAATTTCTTCTTGATGTCTCTTTCTTACTGTGGAAAGGAAGTCACAAAAAGACACACGTTTCAAGAAGCAAATGCCTGAATGCCATAAAAAGTCTTAAATTTTCCACACTATTCCTTTACTTCACAGCTCTATCCATGCATGAAAATGAGATGGTTTCATTGGCGATTCTCTTCCTGGTTGGAGTGTGATAGTAATTTTTTATTCAGTGTTATATTTTTATTTGTCCTTTTGTAGCACTTGGCAGTCACAGGGCACCCCAAAACTACCAGCTGTGCAAACAAAATACCGTCCCTGTCCCAGCCCTTTGCTTAGGAGTGCTGAACTAAAAAAATCCCAAAGGATGGGAATAAGAAAGGCAAAGTTTTTCCACAGTATCAGCCAGTCTAAAAATCCATATGTAAAGAACCACTCAGGATCCAATGCTGGCACAACCCTCTCGCTCTTATGAGTCTCGCAACGTTTTATTTTTTTGTGAAAGACATAGTTCTTGATGTCAAGAGATTCTGAGCTTTTAGCTAGAAAAGAACTTTAAAATAGGACCTTCAAAAACTGAAGGAAAATTAGAAGTCAGAATGTATTAACTTTTTAATAATCCTCTAATTATAGCTGATGTCTCAACGCTTCCTGTAACAACATCAAACCATGGACATGTTGCTTATAAGCACTGCAGCACTGGGTAGATAATTCCCACTGTATTAAGGCCCTGATCTCCAACCAGGGACTCTAGTATGACAAAAAGAACAAGAAATAGTGATAGCTTGTTGTAGCAGTATTTGGCGGAAGTAGATGACCTCTCCTAATGCCTTCCTCTCCTGCTCCTTAGGAAAAGAACGGAAATTGAGCGCTGTTCTGTAACTGGTGATGACTGCTGGCATTTGGCATGCATTTTGTTCCAAATGGTACACAATGACAGCGGTAAGTCCCAGTTCACTCTACCCCTCCTATCCTGATCCAAAGAAGGTGAAAAGTCGCCACACGCTTTTCCAGAGGAACACTCTGGGGCATTCACCCTGCAGGCGCTGATCCATCTCATGCAAGGCAGGGTAGAGGAAAGGGTCATCCACTCACCCCTGCTCACAGGGATGGCTCTGCCACCCACTAGGTCCTGGGAAATCCTTATTTACAAGTTCCCTGTGGGGACTTCAGAGCTGAAAATACCTGGACACAACAGAATGACACAGGAAAATTACAATTGGGATTCATTAGAGCTGTACCTGGGAGGACCCTATTTCAAGTTTGGTGGTGTGTCACCCAGCTGTGCCTGTGTCTCAACTTATCTCCAGCTGCCTCACAAGCAGATCACTCACTGGGAAGGGCAGAGCAAACACCCTACTTTTCGTTCCTGGTCTGGATCCTAAAGTGCTACAGGATCAACTCCCTGTAAGGACATATCATTTCTTCCACTGTAAAGATGACTTCTGGACACTTCAGCGCAATCCAGAGTCAGCACTGCTGTACAATAGTTTATACTATCCATTAGTTGGTTCATTTAGAAAACTGGTGTTGTACAGCTAAATGTCTTCTTGCAGTCTGCATCCACCAAATTACTGTGCTTCTGCAGAGCAGGTAACTTCTGGTAACTTTCCTATTTTCATTACGAACTGTATGAAAAGAAAGCAATTTACAGTAATTGTATTTCATGGGGATGTTGATTTCCTCCCTTTTCATCTCTAAACAATGAGCAAGACAGCTAAAAGATTAGAACTTTTTTCTTGAAATTTCAAAGCGTTGCATAATGTTTCAGTTGGGTGACTTCCACTCCAGTTAAGCCCATGATCTTTTGGGGTTTTTTTCTCTCAAATATATTGAGAGGCTTGAAGTATCACTTCCAGATCTCCAGTGGATGGGATCTAAGAAATTCATTCACAAGCAGGTTTTACTAATGATTCTTCTCCAGCCTACCTCCATACAGACAAACCTCCTCTTGATTTATACAGGGTTTTGGAAGCGTAAGGCAGGCAGTATCAGACTCTGCTGAGCTCTGTTATCATTATTATATAAGTTTTACAGAGCCCACAGCCCAGTAAGGATTTTGCCGTTTTAAACTGGCACATATTCTGTGCCAAAGAATTCAATGAAGTTTATTTGACTTTCAAACTAATACCCACAGGCAGATTTCTGAGCGCTTACACTTCTGTTGCTCCAATTCCAAGACAGGGCCTTAGTATTGTAAGGAAAGGCAAATATTGGGTTATCAAATCACCATCATCCAGTTGCAAAAGAAAAATAGTACAAACACTTCTACTATTTTTCTCTTTTCTGCATTTTGGTAAGGTTAAATAGAAAGAAAATAAGTTTTTGTTATGTTAGGCACCTATGTGCTATTGTCTGAAATAACGTTGTGAGAGCTTGAAAAAAATGTGGCTTGGTCAAAAAGCAGAATGAAAACACAAAAAAATATTAAAAATCCACACAAGTCACCTAGCATTCCTTTCCCCCTTAATTTCTCTCTCAAGCTTGTAACCCTAATTTGTCTAGGCTCCTTTCTGTTCTACATTCTCTTCTACATTCAAGCCTGCATCTTGAAACAGCAGAGTGACAAAACACTACCAAGTGTGTTAACTTTACACATGTGCTGAAGTTTCTTGATGAAAACAGGGGGTTTGCACATGCTTTAGAATTACAGGTGTGCTTAAGTTCTTTCCTGAATACAGACAGGCTTAAACATTGCTTTGAGTGCCTTCTACCCTTAGGACTAAAGAGGCCCTGTAGAAAAGAGCCTTCTAAACTGGAGAGGAAGGATCCAATCTATGCTGATCTAAACCTGCTTAAACCAACAGGGCCCTGTACAGACCTAAAGATTTGGTCTGACCATGCAAAAGAAGTGATTAGACAAGGTCCTAAACGAAGAAGATAAACTGACAAAGAAGTTGTTTTGCTTGTTTGCACCCTTTCTAGGATGTACTAGAAATATTTCCAAAGAGACCATTTCTCATGCTATTTGAAACACCACTGACTCTAAAAAGCAACCCTGTCCTCAAATTTTTTCATGTCACATCCACTAGGGTGTTAGGCTGTAGGAAACATATTGCAATATTCCCTATGTAAACAGATCTGCAATCCATCTTGCTGTCTGCAAGGTAAACCAAGAACACAGCTCAGCCTAGGCTGACCAGGAGACTAGAGATGTGCTTTGCTATCCTCACTAGTGCCACTATGTCTTTTACTTTCACAATGCTTGTTCGGCCATCTGCTCAGATAGATTCTTTCCTTTTTACTTTCAAAATGTTGATAGTACTGCTAATAATGTGGCTGTCATCCCTTTAACTGTACATATTTATTTATGTTATAAATAACTTTGAATAAACAATTTGGGAAGCTGGAGATGCATTCACCTTGTGTGTTCTGCTTAGTATGTGTACATACAGTGCCTGCATATGTGGGTATTAAAAGAAAGGGAGATGAGAAAAGAAGAAGTGAGCTCTGTTCCTCTGACCAACATTACAGGTAAAAAGGAGGTTCTTCTCCAGGTAGAACCAGGCTACAAGTCAAAAAACTTGAGTACTATATAAGAATTTGCATTGCAGTTTTTGGAAGCAGATTTTAAGAAATTCAGGCAAATGAAGGTTGCTCCTTAGAACATGAAAATACATCTGTAAAGGTCTTAATCATCAAAAAAAGATGTAGCATTTTGCTTAAATATAGCTCCAAACATCAGTTTGGCCATGCTCAGCTTGGTGTGAAGGCCAAAATACACTTTTATAAGTTGTCAGCAAGCCCTTCATCAGGACTTCCTCCCTTAAATTCACAGCTTTCAGCTGGCTCCGCAGAAAACGTCAGTAAGTCTGCTCACAGAGACTTACCACTATCACCACAAATAAAGCTCTCACAAATAGGCTTTTAGCAGTGGAACCAAGAGAGAACAGAGTTTCACAACCTGGCCCAAAGGGCTGTGAGGCCAGCAACTCAGGTACTACTCTCCAGAATGATAGACTCTTGTTACCCATCCTCAGGGACCTCTTCCTTCCACACCTGGGTGGGTTTGATGCTGCACCAGGTTTGAGGGCACAGGATAGACATCATACTGGGAAAAATGGGGTCCAGTTCTGGGGTTGGCTCTGCCCATTCACCATTGGCTGGAAACATGAGTAAGGCGCTGCTCTCAGTGAAGTGGAGCATTTGGTGATATCAAACTCCAATTATTATATCAAAGCAAGCAGCCCTTGTAAAGCAGCATAATTCATACTTATTATCACTACTTGGCCACCAGAACAACTCAGCATGCATCCCATGAAAGGCATCCTTTCCTCCAGCATTGTTTCCAAGCTTTTGTGCTTCTTGTATCCTTTACTACCAGGTCTTGCAGCACACTGGCGGTAGGAGGACCGTGTCCTCATCCCTTTGATGTTCCCCAGTTGGCGCTGAGCACTGGGAACACCCCTGGGAGCCACGGGCACCTTGGCACCAGTGGTCACTAGGGGGTGCTCCGTGCCCCTCTAA